GAAACCAGAGGAGATAAAGCTAGAATCCTGGTTTTGACTCCCTCCCAAGTTCTTAATCCATTCCCCCACATTCCAATTTACAATAAAATGAAATTGGCACATTAACCTGAAAGGAAAAAAAAAGAAAGAAAAATGACCACAGTCATTCAGTAAATTCAGTCACATCCAATGAAGTAACAGTGCGTTTAGGCATATCCAAAAAGGAATTTGGCTCTGAAATAGTGAAACTGTCTTATACCTAGTGGGAAAAAGTGGCAGTTAAAGGTATCGGGAAGTGCCTGAGAGTGGAATTAAAATAGAGAATTGGTTTGTGCTCCTTGTGAAGTGGCTTTTAAAAGAAATTCTGATAAGCCAATACATTAAAGATAGAGTTTTCACTCTTCCTGCGTCATGGAAGAGCCTCTCACTTCCTACAGAAACCCTATAAGCTGTGGAGCTCTGTAAGTACACAGAGGAATGCAACACATTTTCAATGATTGGGCCTGAGTGAGTGAGCGATGCAGAAATAGAGCGTAGCAGGACATTTTTATTTCACTCAAGAAATTCTTCATCATTTATTACAGTTTTTAAGAAGACTCTGAAATTGTCAGTCCTGTCTTTGAGGAAATGAATTGCACTCTGAGGGCTCTCATAGCAAAATCTCTCATGAAGCGTAAGCCAAAAATAGATGGGATAATAGAGAAAAAGCAAAAAGCCAGATGAATGAAACTAAAAAATTAGATACTATTTGAAGTATAATACATAAAAAAATAGCAGTTGTTCCTAAGGGCAGGAAGACAATGTACAGTGATACAGCATGAAGGGAATAAATAGAGACAGAATATAAACATGCAGATTCTTATGATCTAGGTTTACTCCAGGTACTGCCTTACTTGCGCTGAATATGAGGTCGTTTGTGTTAGTCTCTGTGCTTGAGTATCATCGTGTTTGCATGAATACATCTGAACCTTCATGTACTTAGAGTGCCATGTGCTATGAGTGGTTGTCATTTTAAAACACAGAACTAGAGAAAGTGCAAATTATTGATGTGTATGTAATAAACTTTTCAGTGTCTGAGGTCTAAGCAGAACAGTGTATCAAGAGAATGAATTTAAAAAAAATTGATACAACTTCCATGATCCATTTAATCCATCCTCAAGTTCTCACTGAGAATATCATGATTATTCATTTGTACTTACCCATCTTTAATGTTAGTAACTAAAAATAAACCAATTTATATATAGAATTCCTTGCACAAATTTACCCTACATTTAAATAGTTACATTGTTCTATTTCCTTTAATGAGCTTTTGAGAGTTCATATAACATTTGTTAAACAACCAAAAAAACTCTCCAAAGATCATAGTATATTTTAATAAACCATATACTATCAGTTACAATTGATAATTCAGAGAACCTATGAAATTTAGTCAGTCCACCTACATATTTCATTTGAATTAAAGAAAAATGAAATATTTGCCTGAATTATACTTCATTTTACATGAAATACTAATGAGTTGTCCAGTGCAATACATAATAAACTCTGCCCAGCCTGAAAACAAGTATAAATACCCAGAAATACATTTCAAGGTAGAGATGATACTTGAGTTATTTTTTTCTTTTTTTAATTTACTAGACTGATAACTCTAGTTGAGGTAGGGGATAGAAGAAAAGGAAGAAAACACATTGTGTCATACTCTAAATAGTTTCAACAGTGTCTTTTTAAATCATTTCGTCAAGGTATTATGTTGAAATTATCCTGTTGGGTTATTATATTGTTAATGTTTCTCTTCATTTACTAAATTTACTACCACAGCCACCAAAATATTAATAGAGTATTTGCAGAGAGGAAAGTCAACATTACTCTGTTTTTAAGCAGATGCATTGGTGTGTTCGTTCATCTCTTACCCAATACATATATTAAAACCCACAGAATGTTACAAAAGACATTTGAATGTGCAGTTTTGAAGAACTAAATGTCTTGGTAATTTTAGAATATGCCTAAAAAGAACTACATACATATTAAATTAACCACCTTTGTAAAAAGACCATATAAATTGCAGGAGTTTTAGTGACTTGTTAACATACTTAGTAAGACAATAAATAAAGGCATTCTTTGAAACATCTAAGCCTGAAAAAGGTGTTATCTTATGGGATTTTTAAAGAGTCACCTTTCTGCTCTTTAGTATGACTGCAGTAGCAGCTGAAGGGACACAATACTGTGCAGAGGCTGATGACAGCACCGTATGACACTTCAGAAGCAGAGTGTACGTACGTAATACGAGAATTGTAATTCACCAACAGTGCTATTTCTATGTATGCCCCAAGCACGTAGTGACTGTTGGTTGGAAATACCTAAAATGTCAATTATTTTAGCTAAAGAATGAAAGCAAATTCTATTTTGTTACATTGGTACCGAGGGGACATATAAACCGAGAAAACATGTCACTGTGGAGTAGAAATAGCCAGGTTTGTGTGGGAATAAATTTAAATACACTCTTTGGATTCTCATTATTAGTTTGAAGAATTATTAAGTAAAAAAAATAAAGATCTTTGCCTTTTGTAAGAACATGTTTTATGTATGCTTGAAGTTTTTACAACACTCCAAAAAAAGCCATCCGATGTTAGATTTAAAAATAAAATCAAAAGCATTTTCTGACATAGTACACATGAAAAATTGGAAATTCCAATGTCTTCGGTAGAAGTTATAGAAAGTGTATGTCTCCTTGGAACGTGACACCCACTTAACAGAGCAGAAAATAAGGTACTATACTGTAAACAAAAAGGTACAGTAAAGGACAGTTGTAAATTTACATAAGAATAGTTCATAAACATTTTGGTCTTTCCATAACAGTTTTTATATAAAATGAATAAAAAAACCTTAGACAGCTGTCATCACTCTCGTTTGACCACTTTTCACTTGTGTGCACACAGACACATTTATACAGCAATATATTGATGCACCGTTACATGGGTACTGAACTATGATTACTGCTTGTAACTGGGATATGCATTATCCATTCAACATGATCCATAGTGGAAATACTCTTACATTATGTATTCTTGTCATGGTGTATCTATAAAAACATGAAAATATAACTTTACATTATTTCAATTATTTACATTAGTTCAAGCTTGACAGAAAATTCGATAAACTACAATTTTTAGAAGAGTAGGCCCAGAGGTACAATAAATAGCATTGATCGTATATAGTCATCTTTTTTTATTGTTAAAAACGCATTTGAAGTACAATACGGAAACAATTAGTCTGCAATTTGGTCATTCTAGCATTTATTATTAAAACTTAAATTGCACCCCCAACATTCCTGATGAGGAGAAATGCACTGAGTTATACTGCATTATCGTCAGTTTTGGGATAAGGGACAGCTGAATTTAGTGAAGCCCGTCACGATGCCACATGTCACCGTGTTCGATGGAAACGGTTGCTATGAGACCTTACATTTCTCTTTCCCTTCTGTGAAATGTGGTGTGTTTTCAGAGCACTCAGGCAAATACCAAGTGCTACACAAAGGCTTAATTGCAGAAATGACAAGACTGCAAATATGAAAAATAACTATTGGATGTTAGTAATTTTTTTTAAAACCCTAAATTTATTTTATGTTAGGAGGCTTAATGAAAATAAATGATCTTTTTTTGAGGGGAAGATAGCTCCTTTAAATATTTTAACTAGAGAAAAATAATTTCTGTAGTCAAAATTTACAGAAGCATAGCATTTTATCCACACTGGGCATATTAAAATAGATATTCCACTTGAGGAATGGGTATAAAAAATATGTTAGGGTTGTGTTTATTGATGGCAATGGGAAGAAACTCTTTTGCCGGTGATTCAAAGTGCTCAAGTGATTCATACTATCTAAGGCTTCTGACAGCTCTACTTCAAAAAAGGAAAACTTAGGTTAGTTAGTGGAGTTTGATTAATGGGCAACTATCTAAAAAACTACTTCCAAAGCATTTCTAACTTTATGGACACTTATACTTTTCTTCTGCAAGCTCACACACTTTAAAATGGAACCTCACATAGTCTGAATATTTGGATATTTTTAAGTTAGCTTTTTAAACTATCAGCATTTATCTACATAGATTAAATGCTTTACATTAAATATATCTTTATACATAGTAAGACATACTAAAAAACAAGTTCAGATATTGCTTCGGGGCAAGTTTATAGTTTAGGTACCACCTGGCCTTCTTTTCTTAAAAGGGGGCAATTTTCTCTGGGAACCTAACAATTTGTCTCGAAACTCACTTGATTTTATGACCAAACTGTAGCTAAGCAAAATTAACTGGACCCCTTGCAAATAAAACAATAGAAAAACGTTTATTTCAAATGTCAAGCATTGCCAAGTAATTTTATATTAACACCAAATGTTAAAGAATAGGATACATTAAAGTTTTAATAACAATATTAAATTACAAGGTTTGAATCACTCTTTGTTTTCTTTCCTTAGCATTTACATATTTGGCTTTGGAAAATACGGAACTGATACCTAAAGCCTTTATAATCACTTCCCACTTAGCTCAACTGTTTTTTGTCTTCTCCGACCAATATGGAAGCAAGTTTATTTAAAAGCCAGTTTGTTTGTGAAAATACCTAAAAATATTTTTTTTAATTTTAAGTTTTTTTTCTCTTTTTCTTATAAAACATGTCACATCTTGATGCAGTTGATGTCAAGTGTGCTTAAGTCATTATGAATCAAGAGACTAACAATAGTGGCTGCAGAAACGGTGTGTCGTCTGTACAAAGGTTTCAGTTAGATTACAGTACTCCCATGTTAGCTGTGCACGTCCACCGCGCTTCGTCTGGAACCGGAGTAGAAAAGGACGTTGTGTTTTTAAGTAACCATTCCTTACAATGCAAGATGAATTCCACTCATTTAAGAATTCTTGGCTGAAAGAAAAGTCTTCAAGATACTGGATGCCTCTCACCATTTTGACAATAAACACACGAGAAAACCATTGTGTAAGGCACTCAAAAGGTTCTTATCAATCACGAGAGATCAG